GGCCACTCGTGCTCAACCAGGAAGGCCAGCGTTCCCTCGGACAGCACTACACCGAAGATGAGAAGGAATGTGAAGATCAGCAGGCTGGACCAAAGAAGCACCTCGTCGGAGAAGAAAGAGGGGGGGCATGAAGTGGGGAGGAGTGGGCGGGGGGAGGGGGAGAGAGGAAGGATTACGGTGAAAAGATGAAGATAGATCCGCCGACCTTTCGGCGTGTTGAAGTCGTCGTCGTCGTCGTCGTCGTCGTCGTCGTCGTCGTCGTCCAGTCCCAAGGAATTTGAGAAACAAGGGAAATGAACGTCGGAGTTCGCAGTAAGCCAGAGAGAAGCCCTTCCCCTGTCCCTGTCCTACCAGGAGGGGGGAAGGGGCGGGGAGGGGGGGGGAAGACGGGGGGGGTCCTGGGTCAGAATACTGCCCCCCCCCGAGGGTCCCGGTGAGTCCTGCGGGGTTCGCCAGCGGGGATCCCGGGGGAGGTCCCGCCTTCAGGATCGGCGGCACCGGCCGCAACGCCTTCGCAATGTGAGGAGGAAGAGAGAGGCGAAGAGAGAAAGAGAGATAAGGTGGTGGAGGCGGCACTCACATGTGGTCAATGCACAAGGTCAGTAGATAACGCTCAGGCGGCCACCGTGCGCTACAGAGGTCGAGACCCTCCAGCGATGCCAAAATTAGTGTCCCCCTGGCGGCCTGCTATCCAGTCGAAGGACACCACGGATCACGTTAGGGCCGTGATGCCTAGCGAAACTACCCCACCCGGGGAGCCCGACCCAATGCTTGCCACTACGTCTGCGCGGGCGGCTGGAAACTGGCTCCGTGAAACCAGCCATGAACACGCCGTCAGAATACTCTGGCGGGGATGGGGGGGGCATGCAGCTTGCAGAGGAACTGTGGGAGGGGGGGCACCTGACATGCCTCTTCCGCGCGCCCAAGAGCACGAGCGGCCTGCGGCGCTGCGGATTGCCATGGCAATTTTGTCCACAGAGCGGCACCGCTGCCTGGCTCCCGCCGGGAGGCGGCCACCCGAACGTCGACCCCATCGGCAACAGGCTCTGCTCGCGAAGCTGCACTGGGGACGGCGGCCAGCGAAGCCGCCCGACCTGGAGCGCAAAACGAGAAGGGGCCAGTCCTGACGCACGCGGCGCTGAGTGCCACCCTCTGCTCGCGGCATCTCAAGAACCGCCCCGTTCCCACGAGGCTTCTTTCCCAAGGCTGCAGCCGCTGGCGACGAGGGCGAGCCCCTCGAAACCACAGCGCCCGCTGGCTCGGGCCCCGCACCGCAGGGCGAGCGACTCGAGCAGGGAGGGCCATGCCACGCGAATATATATATAGATATATATATATATATATATATGCACGGCTCAGATTCTTGAGACACGCTGCGCCGATACGCACCCTGACAGACGCGAAGCTGCGTGTCGCCGAGGAACAGCCCTTCCGAGACGCGCACGACTGCTCACGCGAGGGGTCGATCGATCCTGGGCCAACGCAGCTGTGGAACATATTGCAGCTTGGATGAATGTCTGCAACCCTCCAACTTCCCGCAACAGTCGGCCTCCACGGCTACAATGCGCCCGACCAGGACGCATCGAACGAAGCCAACCACATCGCGCGCCACATCGCCCACGAACGCGGCCGCAGCCAAATCCACGCGCTCGCCACATCGAACTTGCAGGAATCACGTGCCGTCCACCAGGGGGCCTGCCGACATTCGCTAATGGAGGAACAAAACCTGAATGAACACAAACTTTCGGAGCTCCGCGCGGATTTCTTGGGTCGGCGCCGGAGGCGCCGCCAGGGGAGCCCAAGGCTGATCCACCAGGAAATCCGCGGAGCTCCGGAACTGTCTGCTTGTGCCGCTCTGTGTTCTTCGAAATCTGCTTATGCCGTTCTGTGCTCTTCGAAATATAAGCCCGAGCTCACTGAAGCTCATTTTCAATACTCTGTCGCGATTGCCCTGGGCAGGTTGGCACCCTCTGCGCCGGATGCGGCAGGGGCCCGCGCCGTCGACCGCGTCGATCGCGACGCAGCCGCCGCGGTGGCGTGCGCGCCCCTGCCAGCATCGCCTGGACTGCAGCACACGCAGTCCGTGTCGTCAACGGCCTGTGCGACGGAGATGTCGCCGCAGGCGACGGCTGCATCGTGGGAGACGGTCGCGCGGGACACTCCGAGCCCCGACCAAAACTACAATTCATGATTCAGAATACGTTGCTGGTCACAGACGCCCTTCGGTGGGCAAATCCCCCATGCATGCAATGAAGAACTGCCCTGTCTAGATACGCTGCATTGCCGCAATGTCCCATCTGACGCATCATGGCTTCACTGAGGAGGCGCCGCCGATGGATCCGTCGAGCCGAGCTGAGTCCAGGGATCTGCGCCAATCCGAGGGCGCTTCGGCAAGCCCTCGGCCGCCCCATCACTCCCCGCGCAAACTGCGAAAAAAAAACTATGAACGCGGCGATAATGCTTTCAATGTGTTCTTGTTCGAGCTCTCACGAAAGGCCTCACCGTGCCAGGTTGACCATCATCCGAAAGAACTTCAACCGGCCGGCGCCATGGTAGCACGCTCTCTATGGATAAGAGCTATTCGATAAGACGAAGCCCTAACAAGTCTCGACCTCTTTCGTCCTTCAGCTCTCGGCTCCAATCGTGAACGCGGCAGGGGCGTCATGTTTTCTCGTTCGGCATGACACTGACACCGACCTGCTGTGCGCACTGGCCCCCACGAAATCAAGGCTGTTCCAAATTGGACGATCCACACATCAATCGCGGGGGTCCCTAGCGTCGGTGCAACTGTAAAAGCGCCGGCCTCGCCCCACTTTCTGCAATCACTAATGCTCGTACCTCATTCGTGCGATGTGCTTGATACAGCCGTTTACCATCCTTGAGCTAGCGAACGATCGTAAACTGATTCAGGGATGGTATGCCAGACTAAAAACGAGGGACTGCAGAACGCTGAACAAGGCCTCGTTGGTTCGGCCTGGTTTCCTGGAAGCCAGCGATACTATTCGGTGCGTTGCTGGTAGCACTGCAGGGCAGTGGTCTCAACGTCCACAACAAGTGCGTGCGGTTCTTCGCCTGCGCCAGCTCAAGCGTTATGGCCCTTACACGCTGAAACGCACGGGAAGGAAATGTTGTCCACATCGTGCAGAGCTCGGCCGCGCCACCATCCATCAAAAACTCCTTGTGGCAAGTCAGCGAGATTCCATTGAATATTGCGCGTGTCCGCAAATCGGGAAAAAAAACAAGAACAGATCGAGGATAAACCCGCAAAGATAATGGCCTAATGTCTTGCGACCTGGTGAAACATGCTCATGTTATCCTTTGTTGCTGACAAACCGTGGCATGATGCGACAGTGCAAAGCCAAACTGAAACAAACCATGATGAATTGTGCGCGTACTTGTCGCCTGTTTCTGTGAATGGTGCCCACTCATCCAAAATTTGTACTTGCCTGCCACAAGTAATACTTCCACGTGAACTTGCGCATTTCTGTCATGCCCAAGTGCTCAAGTAGAGGTCGCCACAGGCCTACGGGACCGTGTTCGCCCAGATTTTAAAGTCTGAACTGTCGACAGGTCACATCAATTGAGGTCGCCTCCAGGCACGATCGATACGCGATTCGGCTGACTAGGGCATACACTGCCCATCCAAGTAATCATGTGTTCCACCATACTTAGAATCGATTCCAATGTGTTTGCCCAACTTGGTCAAACCAGAAAATGCGTCACCGTGCGTAGCAACGACAAACAAGTGGGTGTGATCCTGGTGTGAACTGACCAGCGCCAAACCGCCCGTACAGGCCGCATGAGGGCGAACACGGCTGACGTGGTTTAGTCGACATTGTTTTTTGTTCGAAGCATACTAGTAGGAACTCGCGTGTGCGAGGATGTCAGTGGGCCACGGCCAATGCCATAACCCTGGCTCAATGCGTGGGTGCGCGAATGAAGGCGCGCTCCACTTACGAACACCGTGCTCTTCGTCGCGCAGGCCTCGACGATCGCCACAGCCCAGCCAGATCGCATGCACGAAAGAACACCGAGCACCGCGGACTGATACGGTGTCTGCATGAAAGGCTCGCCGCGGTGGGGTGGTTCCCTACACGAAGGGGTATATAAGCGCAGTAGACATGTGGACACACCGAACTGCTGACGCGCAGGAAGTACGAAGGGCGAAGGACCTGGGCATCGGCGGCTAGAGAGGGGAGAACGAGGAGAAGGAGGGAGAGGGAGAGGAGGAAGAGGAGGAGGAGGCAGACAAAGAGAAAGAGAAAGCGAGGAAGAGGACAGTGAAGTGCAGTGGGGAAGTATAGAAAGAGAGTCGTGAAGATCGCCAGATCGGATTATGGCTTGCACCTTCACCGCCCCAGCGAGGGCGTGGACCATGATGCGTAGCTCCCTGAAGAAGCGATGCTGGCGGATCACGCTTGTCACCAGCACCACCGACAGCACCTTGGATACCGCCAGCTACACACCAACGCCGATCCTGGCCAGGCCCATCCTGGGCCCAGGACCTGTGCACGTGTACACCTTCCTGGCCAGGCCCGAAGCCAAGATCAGTCAGCATCGGATCGGGAAATCGGATCAAATGGAATTGTGCGTCGGATCGGGCTGCATCGGCACGGAACTGAGACCGACACGGATCGGCTGCGCCGCACCGGACCGCTCGGAAATCGAAGCCGAATCGGATCGAGTCCAGTGATCTCGGCAATCGAATCGGATCGATCAGGTCGAAATGGATCCTGGAATCCCGGAGGGCGTGTGCACCGAGCCTGGGCCAAGGATTCGCCTGGCAGCGACCGGGGTCAGCGTGCAGCTGAAGGTGCCCGAGGCACTCGGGCGAGGCGCAGAGTGGAGAGCATGGCGAGCACCACCCGGAACTGCGAGGACCTGGGAGGGAGGAGACCTACAGCTGGCACATATGATACAAAGTCTGATTTGTTCCGTGCGGGCGCCCTCGATACGAAGGCTTGGTATAAAAAAAACTTGGGGCACATGATTTGTCGATCTTTATGGGCTCCCAATTGCCTAAGAGCTTCCCTGGGTCCATCGGGTCATCGGGGTCTAAGAAATTTCCGTGGGGCAGCTCCTGGGAGGTTTTTCGTGAGAGCGGCTAAAGACCAAAACCGATTAAAAAGCTACTAAGCCGGATCAAGCCAGCTTCAGCTCAGGATTACGCAAGCCAGATCTGCCAGGATTAAGCTAAACTGGGCGAGATCGTGGCAGAGTGCAACGATCTTCGACCGCTGATATACCAGTGCCGATGCTGAACATAACCTCCCAGGAGCTACAACCAGAGGAGAGGACAAGGGACAACACAGGCGCTGGTGGCGCCCAGAAGGGCGCCCACCATCGCAGAGGGTTGCCAAAAGTGCCCCTGGCCGAAGGTGCCCCCAGCTTTTCGATCCACTCGCGGAGCCCACGAAGCTCTGGGACTTGTGAGGGGTGCTCTGGAGGGTGCTGAGGGGCAACGATAGGAGGAACTGGCATAGGGGGGGACACATCGATCTGGAATCGGCGAGACATCGCCGATAGATCGGCGATAGGCCTCCGATAGCGAATCCACACGTTCATGGGCGGGGTGGGGCTATCAGAGCCTTTTCGGCGATCAATGGGCGATTGGGGGTCGATGCATTCTCCCCATATGCCTATCCACCCCTGTCGTTGCCCCTGAGCTTCGGGGGCGTCTCCTTGTAAGTTCTGAGGACACCTTGGGGCAGGGACACCTTTGGCAACACCCGACATCCAGAGAGCGGCAACAGCGGCGACGCGGCATCAGAGCTCAGAAGGGCGGTCATGCGGACGTCGGAATGTTCCGTCCGTCCTCACTTCTATGCATGGCTGGCGTTCGCTACCCAGTTGGATAGTGCAGAGCGAAGCCATCTACGAATGAACCAATGACACATGTCACCGACTTGTGTACCAAACCCATCCGACATCCGAGCGCACCCCAATCACCATTTCCACAACCGCCCCGGAATATGAGGAGACCTCAAAAGCTCGCTATCCATTTCGATATTCCTCTGAGAAGGGATGAGGGAGGGAGGGAGGAAGGAGGGAGGGGGGGAGGGAGGAGAGAGGGGAGGAGGGAGGGGGAGAGAGGAGGGAGGGAAGGGGAGAGGGAAGGGAGGGAGGAGGGAGGAGGGAAGGAAGCAGGCAGGGGGGGGAGTAGGGGGGAGGAGAGAGGGGAGGAGGGAGGGGGAGGGAGGAGAGAGGGGAAGGGAGGGAGGGAGGGAGGGAGGGAGGGACGAAGGCAGGCAGGAACGGAGAGGAAAGGAGGAGACAGGAGCTGGGCTACCTCTGGTGCCGGTGCGAGTGGTGGGCGATGGTCTGGAGCAGCTGCGTGACCGCGACCACCGCGTGGAACGACTGCCAGCCAGCTCCTACATTCGAAGAACAAGCATAACAAGAAGAACAAAAACAAACATCATCATCATACACATCAGATTTCGAAGGTGCTCGCTGATTTCTTGGGTTGGCGCTGGACCCCCATCCCTGGCGCGCTCCGCGCGCCAGGTGCGGCGCCGCCAGGGTATCCGCGCGGACCTCCGAAAATTGGTGTTTCTGCGGATGCTTGATCTTCGATTCTCAACATGCTACCATCCTCTCGCTCCACCTCCCCCTCCTCCTCCTCCTCCTCCTCCTCCTCCTCCTCCTCTCCTCCTCCTCCTCCTCCTCCTCCTCCTCCTCCTCCTCCTCCTCTCCTCCTCCTCCCTCCTCCTCCTCCTCCTCCTCCTCCTCCTCCTCCTCCTCCTCCTCCTTCCTCCTCCTCCTCCTCCTCCTCCTCCTCCTCCTCCTCCTCCTCCTCCTCCTCCTCCTATTTCCCTGCCCCTCCCATCCCTCGCCCAGCATCTCCACCATCCCTCGGACCAGGGCAAATTGGGACAACGGCAGCTCAAAATCGAACTCCGGCCCCCTCCCAGGATCCAAATGCAGTAGTTTTCCGAGCTGCGTCCAGTCGTGGTGACGAGGCACACTCCAAGACCAACTACTGTTGCCTCAACTCGCGCTCCTCCTCCTCCTCCTCCTCCTCCTCCTCCTCCTCCCCCTCCTCCTCCTCCTCCTCCTCCTCCTCCTCCTCCTCCTCCTCCTACTCCCTCCTCCTCCTTCTGCTCCTCCTTCTCCTTCATTCCTTTTCCTTATGATTAACTCCTCCATGTCGCACCCCGAGGCTGGTCAAAAGGGCGCGCCCGGCATTTCGTCTGAGACTGCCTCATTAATTATGACCCTGAAGCGTTAAATTTGGCAACAGCTTCACGGATTGAGGGCGGGCGGTCTTCAAAATGTGGCTCTCGCCTTAACGCCGCACACATTCATGTTAAAAATTGCAAAGGAGTTTCACACATTGAATGCGGCTGGTTGTCAATATGTGGCCCTCGCCTTAGCGCCGCGCACATTCTCTTTGAAAATACGCGAAAAGTTTCGCAGCCTATGCATAAGCCTTTCGCAGAGCACCGGCCCCGGAGAGGCTCCCCACAGGCCCGCCGCAGGCCTGTGCACGGCCTGTGCACAGGCCTGTGGCAGGCCTGTGCACAGCCTATGCATAGGCCTGTCGCATAGCGCCGGCCCCCAGAGAGGCTCTCCCACAAGCCCGGCCTGTGCACGGCCTGTGCACAGGCCTGTGGTAGGCCTGTACACAGCCTATTCATAGGCCTGTCGCCGAGCGCCGGCCCCCGGAGAGGCTCTCCCAGAGGCCTGCCACAGGCCTGTCCACAGGCCTGTGCACAGGCCTGTGGTAGGCCTGTGCTCAGCCTATGCATAGGCCTGTGGCGCAGGAGCCCACAGGGCATGAGAAAGCCTATCGACAGGCCTATTGTAGGCCTGTGTATAGCCTGTTCATAAGCCTAAGCATATGCGTAGGCCTATGCATACACTATGCGCAGGCCTGTGGCGCAAGAGTGCTCAGGCCTCAGGCCCTGTCACAGCCGATCCATAGGCCTACCATAGGCCTGTGGACAGCCCATGAGTAGGCCTGTCGTTGGCCTATTGACAGACTGTGCATAGGCCCATGGGAGCCTGCACCGCAGGGCTCGCTACAGCCTTTGCACAGGACTACCATAGGCCTATGGATAGCCTGTGCACAGGCCTATTGGAGCCTATCGCAGCCTGTGCACAGACCATTGTCGGGATTGCTGATCTGGGCCGGGCGGGCCCCCATCGGCGCCGAGCCCGGCTTCTCCCCGAACGCTGCCCCCGAGGTAACCGAAGAGGTCGCCCCTGAAGTGGCCACTTGCTGTCACCCCTGGAGGGCGTGGTGGTGCCACCGTGCGGTCATTTAGGCTGATGTTGCAAAACACATCGCAAACCCCGACCGCGGGAATGGGCTGCGCGCCCCAGAGGTGCTCACGAATTTCATTTCTTGTACGGGATGTCGTCCGGTAGCAAGGCGGGCGTTGCGTCGCTTGCGCTGCCGACTCGTCGTGTCCAGAGCAACGGCTTCACGCCCGCGACAGAAATGAGGGTGGCACACGCACGCACCGTCCGCAAGCAGATTCAAGTCGAAACCAAGCCGAGGAAACGACCTCTCGTTTTACTCCTCGCACGAATCGCGCCGACACCAGCGGCCCAGCGGGCGGGGCCCCACCGAACCGCGCCGCCGCCGCGGGACCGGCGGGCTCACAAGCATTGGGCGCCATAGTCGAGAGCAAGCCAGATGCGTGCTTGGCGACGACTGACAGAGCTGGCCGTGGTGCGACCTCCCTACAATTCGGGTGGGAGGTCGGCAGGGAATATCGAGCGCCTGTGAGCACCGTGCACCCATGAGCACCGGGCGACCCGCATCGCGGGTCGCACGCCCGACGCCCACTCTGGTGACCACTAAGACGCCCACGGGGTGACCACTATGGTGCTCAATATCGCTTCGGACCAACAGTACCAAGGAAAAGCAACGCATTGGATGGCGCTCAAACGGCGTCGAAAGTTTCCGTGTGACTACTACGGTGCCCATCGCGTCCGCTTGCCCTGTCGGAGAATTTGCTTAGTGGGCACAATAGAGGCCAACCACACACACACACACACACACACAAAAAAAACAAAAAAAAAAAAAAAAAAAAAAAAAAAAAAAAAAAAAAAAAAAAAAAAAGTGGTCACAGAGGGACACTTGGTGGCCACATCAAGGAAATGCATGTGCGCATCGCTCCAGCAGCGATCTGCGAAGGTACGTCGTCCTCACACCTCCTCCTCCTCCTCCTCCTCCTCCTCCTCCTCTCCTCCTCCTCCTCCTCCTCCTTCTCTCCTCCTCATCCTCCTCCTGCTACTGCTACTGCTACTGCTGTTGTTGCTGCTGTTCTGTTCCTCCTCCTCCTCCTCCTCCTCCTCCTCCTCCTCCTCCTCATCCCTCTCCTCCTCCCCCTCCTCCTACTCCTCCTCCTTATCATCGTCGTCCTCCTCCAAAGCACCCCCAAACCCGCGATGAACATCACAGAAACCGCGATGCATCACAATTGCGAGTGCTTATTCGTGGGAACACCTTTTTGCGGACCCCCTCTGGCAAGGTCCATGAAACATCCGCCTCCTGCTCCTCATCCACCACCTCCTCGGCACCTGCAGAGTACGCCGCGCCAACCTCGCCTGCCACGAATCTCAGCAGGTGGTCGACCACGACGCAGCCGCACGAGATGTCAAGGAGCACCGTGAAGATCACGACGTCGTCGACGCTGGCGGCGCTGTAGTACGGCCCCGAAGAGGCCCTGTTAGAAGAACAAACAATGTTATAAACATAAGTTTTCGGCCGGAGCTCCTAGCGGATATTTCGGATCGGCGCTGGACCTCCTCTCCCTGGCGCGCGGAGTCCAGTGCGGATCCAGGCAATCCAAGCGGACCTCCCAAAAGTTGATGTTTATGCAATTGTCCCATTTTCGACCGCTGCCCCGCGCTCTCCATCTCACACACCACGAGCACGGCGTCCAGGACGATTACCATGGCCCGGGCGAGCTGGTAGGCGGGGTGCCTCACGAGCTTGCGGGCGCGGGCTGAACCCGCGGTAGCCCTCGACGCACCCTCGTAGATCCTGAGAAGGTCAAAAAGAGAAAAACAAAAACAACAAAACATCATGGCGAACGACCCAACGATATGCAGTCAGAGTAACGCGTTGAGGGTGCCGCTTTCGGTGGAGCCCCCTTTGCGGCCACGAAACCCGTGATGGGTCGTGCTGTAATGGGTGGGGGAGACGCATGAGGGCGGTGCCACTGGGGCCTTCGGTGGGGCTCCCAATAGGCCTCGAAACGCTGCATTGGGTATGACGGACGCATGCGGGCGGTGCCCCCCGCTGGAGCTCCCGATGAGGCCACGAAACGCTGTACTGTTTGGGGGGGACGCGTGCGGGCGGTGCCACTGGGGTCTTTCTGTGGAGGCCCCCTATAGGGCCACGAAACGCTGTACTGGGTGGTGGCCGACGCGCGCGGGAGGTGCCACTGGGGTCTCGGTGGAGCTCCGTATGGGGCCACGAAACGCTGCACTGGGAGGGGGGACGCGTGCGGGCAGTGCCACTGGGGCCTTCGGTGGAGCTCCCTATGGGCCCACGAAGCGCTGTACTGGGTGGGGGGCCGCATGCGGGCGGACCATTGGGGCTCCCTACGGGGCCACAAAATGCTGTACTGGTTGGGGGGACGCATGCGGGCGGTGCCACTGGGGCACCCAGGGCTTGGTGGAGCTCCCAATCAATGGAGCCCCGAAATGCAATAGTTGTGATATGGAAGATAATCGCTGGATCTTGTTTACTCGCGCGGGGAGGTGCGTAGCTCTTAAGCCAAGGGCCCGATTCGAGAATAAACGGCAGCGGCAGAGATAGATACAGCCAGAGAGAGAAGGAGCGAACAGGGAGAGAGATAACAGGGGCGCAGCCGATGGGCCCTTCTAGTCTTTTCTGGCGAAACCTCTTCGGCCTTTCTCTTTTGCTGGGAGCGAATGTGACTCACATTCCTCCTAGTCGCCGTTTGGGGCGCCCGTAGCGGGGACTAAGCACAAGTCACTCGCAGCTAGCAGAGGTGCTAGCAGAGACAGCACCAATCGCTACATATATATGTGTGTATATATACAAATATGTATATATACATACATACATACATACATACATACATACATACATACATACACACATACATACAATTGTGTATATATTTATATATACATATATATACATATATATACATATATATATATATATATATATATTCGCGGGCAAACAGGCTCGCACGGCTTGCAGCGCAGGCTGCCCAGGGGCGAAGCAGCGGGTGCTAGCACGCACCTGCAAAACAAATTATCGTACAAACGGGCTCTCGGCCCAAGATTCTTATCACTTAGAAATAAGACAACAATAACTGGCACGGAAACTGACGGGTGATCGTCAGCACCATAAAAACACTGGAACAATGCGCACAAACCAAAAACGGGGGCTGCCAGGAAGGCGCATGGGAAGAGGTGGAAAAAAACCTCAAAGTGGACTCACGTAAATCTTTACCGGGCGTTCGCAATCTCATCGCGGACTTACGTAATCTCTTCCAGGTGTTAGCAGTCTCGCCGCGGACTCACCGAATCTTCTTCGCGGCCCCCTTCGATGGTATGTCGGGGCCCATCAACTGCGCCCATCTGCACTGCCACTGGCGAATGCTGCTGCGCATCCTGCTAGTCGGGCGAGTGCACGCGATGGTTCCGCCGCAACCACGACGCGCGTCGCCTGCAGACTCTGCAGGTTGCGCACACGCTGCACGGATTGCGCCCCACGAATAGAATGCCCGGCCACGGCGCACTCGTTGATCTCCATCGGCGACACTGTCGGCGCGCTGTTGTTGCACGATACGATGCCATCCGATGATCTGGAAACGTCAGCGGCAACGATGGCGACGCCGGGGCGAAGCTGCCCGGTGGCGACACCGTCATCGGCGGCGGACCCAGCCAGCCCGAGGCGGATGCCCCCGGCGGCGGAGCCGAAGCACTAGCGCTGCTCTGCGCTGCAGTCGCCTGCTCCGGCGCATCCGGCACGAAGATATTCCCGTCTTCGTCGGCGTCCTCGGGGATCGGCGCGGGCGGCTGGTTGTGCCGCCTGCCCAGGCGTCTCCCATCTCAGGCGGGGTGGAGCGCACCTGCGGCCCCGTCCTCGCTCGGCTCGTTCTTGACGGCGTTCAGGCGCAGGGCGGCGCACCATAGAAGCGCAAAAATGCCGAGCCCGATGATCACGCCCAAGAACATTGAAGAAAACGCCAGGGAGCACGGGAACCAAGAGTAGACGCTGACGAACGGGGCCACGGGGTCGGCTGACCCTCGACCCTTCCGACGCACGCGGCATGCACGGAGGCGATCATTGCGGCGTTCGGCTGTCCGGCACCGAAGCTGCACTTCTCGGCGCCGAAGAACGAGAGCAGCAGGCTGGCCCCCATGACCTCGGCGAGCGAGTCGGCGACCATGCTCTACGCAGGGGCCCAAGTAAGGCGGAGCTCGCTGTTGGGGCGCACAGGCCCCTTAATGGAAGCGACGACGCAGAACCGCTCGTCGGAGGACTAACTGACCGACGTCCGATTGGACGCGCGCGACCAGGCCCTCGCTGTCGCAGGAGGCCTCCCCGTGGCGCTTCAGGCTGAGATCGATCGCCTTGAGCGGCGTCTTCGGGTCGAAGGCCTCGGTGAGCAGCTCGCGGAACCAAGCGTTAATCATGGCCCCCATCGAGGGTTGCGTAGCCCTCGGCTGCCGGCGTGGACTTCACGGACCTCTCGACAGCGCCGGAGTGCCATGCCACAGGAAGGCAGAGGTCGTAGCGGCCTTCGACGACGCCTCACTGGCCCTCGACGCCCTCGACATTAGCGAACGAAGCGTCACTGAAGCAGACCGTAGCTCAGGTCTTGGTCGATGAGGCTGCACTTAAACACGACCGCAAAACGGCGGACTCATGCACGTAGGACGCCGTCTTGTTGAGCGTCTTGGCGTCGGCAACAGCGGCGACGTTGGCGCGACGGGCAGCCACGCTGACCGGGCAGGCGATGTCGACATGGATCTGAACTCCGAGCCATAGCAGTTGTCCCAGCGTGTGCCGGTCGCTGGAGACCTCTTCACTGGATAGATTACCCCCTGGCGATCGACCCTTCACGTTGGCGAGCTCGACGAAGTCCACCTGCGTTACGGCCGTCGTCTGCATGGCGCGGAACTCGCCATCTAACTTGGAAATGATGCGGCCGCAATACTTGATGGTGACATCGACCTGTTCCGCTTCCACGCGCTGGAGTCGCTCCGCTGGGCGATCAGGAAGTCATCCACATGGGAACGCATCATGGCGGTGAGGCCCTTATCGTCATAGAGATGGTAGAGTCCCTTCCCCAGTCTTCTCTCGATGAGGCCGTGCTCCTGAAAGATCCTCTGGGCGTCGAGGTACCATTGCCTCCCCGCGTCGCGGGTGCAGTAGACGGCGCCGGTCGCCATCGCGATCTCGCCAGGTGAAGACCCCGGCGGTGGCTTCTTCGTTGGCAGGCGCAACAGCGGGAGCCTCTCGACGTTGCCGGACTGGAGATAGGCCGCCATGGCGTCATACGACGCAAGGTCCCATCGAGACTGAGCAGCGGCGGCAAGCGCAAGACATAGTGCATCTCTGGATCCAGCAGGCGCATCTGCGCGAATATGTGACCTGTCTTTCCAGCAGCCCTGAACAACGAGGCACGCCTCCATGGGGTTATGCGCCCTTGTGGTCAGCACCCAGCGCGCGCCGACGGGGCGGATGCCAGGGTTCGGCGGGAGAAGCTCCTCCAGTTCCCTGGACGGCAGCATCTCGTAGGCCCCAAACTCCGTCCACTTGGACCACTCGACGCGCATGGCCTCGTCCGTGAGCTTTTTCTCCTCGTTGGAGAAATTGTCGCACTTGAGCTCTTTGGCGGCGGCCTTGCCAGTTAGTGGAACTTATCGTGGCGAGGGAGCGAAGTGCATCTCGTCTGAGCTGGCCTTGGAGCAGTTGTCCAAGTAGTAGTCCGTCTCGTTCGTGTCGCGAGGCTTCCTGGGCAAGTCGCCCAGCAGCTCCTTTCGTGTAGCAGCCCGAACTCGAGGATCGGCATGCTCTTCTTGATCGCGTTGGAGGGCACAGGGAGCGTCTTCTCTTTGGTCGCGACGTTGCGTTTTGGCGCCGAGCGGGTCAGCAGGACGCAGCGATCGCCGAGCTGTGGCCTCCTGTCAGCACTGCTCCTCCATCTGCCTGGCCCAGTCGCGGATCACCTCGAACCCGGAGCTATCTCCATCATCTTCTACTGGCTCATCGCGAACTGGTCCATCTTCTTCTAGAGCTGGCGGCGGCGGTGATGGATCACGAACTGCAGGTGGTGGCGGCGGCGGCGGCGCTGCCAGAGCTGGTGCTGGGGCTAGTGTTCGGCAGGGCCGGAGTCTGCAGATTCTGCCGCGGCTGGCGAGGCCAGCTGCGGCAGGTCCCCCCCCCGAAGGTCCTGGCGGCAAAAAAATTCCAAACCATGTCCACTGGCACCTCCACACATAATATAAATTCTATAACCTTGCTTGCGTCGCAGCCATCTTGCGAAGTCGCGCGCGCGGCGGTCGCCGGGCGCATCCTCGACGTTGCCGAAATTTCGCTGCATGATGGCTGCCGGCGCAGGCGGAGGTGGCAATGCTGCGGGCGCTGCTGGCACGTCAACAATTCGCGAGCGTTTCTGCGGCGCGGGGCCCGCGAGGTCCACGAAGACGCCCATCCTTGGGGTCGTCGGCTGGTCCATGTCGCGGTGGTGGAGGTGGTGGACCACCTCCTCCTCCGCCTCCTCCGTGGCCTGGAGGTGCCGGTGGATCAGCTGGTTGCTGCCCTGGAAGCGGGGGCGACTGCTCGTCGTTCATGGCAAGCAAGTCTTGGCCCCATGGAACGAGTTCGGAAGCTGTGGCACGTCGTAGGTGACCTCTGTTGACCGTCACCAGACGTTGATGCGCCCTCGAACCCGATGATGGCACTGGGGCCACGCCACTGGAGAGGCCAGTCACGTCCGGCCCCCCCGTTGCCTCTCTCATAATACACCTGGCCCCACGCCCGGTAGACGT